TGATACGGTTGTATCGCCCTCGTAGCCTCTGTGTATTGGACTAGTGATCGCGCTTATTTGCCTTACAGGACCTCAACATGACCGAGAGAAAAGCAATCGTGAAAAATGCTGACATGAACGAGGACATGCAACAGGATGCAGTCGAAATCGCGGTGGATGGGATTGAACGATACTCGGTTGAGAAAGACATTGCGGCTCATGTGAAAAAAGAGATGGACAAGCGATTTGGTCCCACATGGCATTGTGTATGTGGTCGACATTTTGGCAGGTATGTCTTTTGTGTGTGCGTGTGTGTGATTCCTGAATATTTTAAATTCATGATGGCACTACTGATGTGTGCGACCCCTAGACTAAATTCTTGATACTTGTTCTGTTGCAGGTAATTTCCCTACCGATAATGTAAGGGCAATTAGCGCGAACCAAACACCATTTTCTTCTACCAGAAATGCATTTACGAAAATGAAGTACCAGTCAATCAATGAGTGTGGGTTCAGGTAGTAGCCTGCTACGAATGTGCTTTATTCACCGCAATATGAATGAATGAGAATGAATGAATCACTAGAGAATGAAGTTTCACATAATATACTAGTTTCGGTACCTTACGGTCAAGCCTACTGCATTTTTAATTAACCTACGATTTGTGAATTGCACTGAAAGAATATTTTGTGCAATCAAAGAAAGCTTGTCCCCTGCTTTTCTCTTCAACAATATGTGTACTTAGTCAAACAGTGAGCAGCAGGCTAACGATTAGTACTGACCCTTAAAAAGTAATAGAACCATCTCCTATTTAATTGCATGTCTAGAAATCAATCAATCCACTGCTTTCCTCATTCGCTTCGTGCTATAAACACCCTTTATTGGAACTGTACTCTCTGTCCACAGCTACGTAACCCATGAGAGCAAACATTTTATCTACTTCTACATCGGACAAGTAGCCATTATGCTGTTCAAATCTGGATAGACGAGGTTCTCAACGCATTGAGCGTGGTCGAAGCTGGCTGGCTTTGATTCTGCTGCTGCTGCTGATGCTGTTCTGAGTGTTATTTCCAGTACCGTTGAGTCCGGTACCAGTTTGTATTGCTGCCGCTGTTACGCCTTTCCCCATCCCCCTCCTCCGAACTACAACCGGGCTACAACCGGAAACGTGTATTGATCAAAACTAATCTGTCCAGATAGGTCGATCTCATCGAGACACTTTGTGCTCTCGATTACTGTACCAATTGAAGTTATCCAAGATTCTTTGAGCGTGGAAATAAACACAGTAATTATGTTTATTGTTTGGCTTATTTTCAATTTGGAAAACTGTTTTCAGGTTTTATGTTACATTGAGGTGAAAATGGGGTGGAAGGTTTGCGCACTGGATCTATGCCAGTGAAAACTAAATACCATATCAAACACCGACAATTACAAGTTGTAATAGATAATATCAGCATGTTGTCCTAGGACAGCAGAGGGCCTGAAACAATAGAGGTAAGCGGCGTGCTGTTATAGTGAAAAGTAATCATTTTGTATGGGACAAATTGTGAACAAACTGTTGGTGGCAACATATTTATTTCCTGTTCTCATACTTTTTCTGATTTTGTTTTCATTTTATTTTCATCTTACTTACATTTATTGAATATACAAATACAAGTTTTAGGAAGGGGGAAGCGGCCAATCAAAGCGCTGCCATTCAATACATTATGGGGAACGTCAGGCGGTGGCGTTTGGATTCGAACACACATCTCCGGGGTGATAAGTTGTTGACGTCACCACCGGACCAACATCTCCCTACAATACACTGAGACTCATGGTTTTGTATAGCTACTGGTCCATTCAACAAGTCTTACTTGGGTACGGATGACTTTTGTCGTGAGGAACGAATCACTTTCAATTGCGTCTACATATGTTTAAGTGTACCGGCCGTGGTTGATTAACTCTTCTGACTCTCTTTGTCAACAGTGTTCATGATTGAGGGAAGATAAAGTCATAGAGCTGGTGTTTAATCTGATGTGGTGTCTTGGTGCTTGAAATATTAACAATAGCAATACTAATATTAAAATTATCAGATTAAACTGGCTTTACAGTTTGAAGGTCTGTCTTTATGTTTACCTATGGAAGATGGAGAGGTGACTGGTTTCAGACGGATAAGAGAAGATTATGCGCCAAGAGAAACGTTAGCAGCCCCCTTTGGTCATATCCTGTAGTATTTCTTTTGTTGTGTTACCAAACAGCGTGTAAATGCCCAAGAAATGTTCCCTCGATTTCTGATCTCGATTAGTTTTGCAATGATGTACCGTCTGAAAAGATTTGAAAACTTCATCCCGTTTGATAAAATTTATCGGGAGCATATGCTCTTATTTTGAAACGTACGAAGATTAACTGATCGAATCCAGGGAATGGAATCGTACACATTTTTATATTGGTTGGATTTGTGTCCGCTTTCTATTCACCGAACTCTAAATTTGCATGTTCAAGGAATTAGATTCTTTTGTAGTCTGCGATGTATTCAACCTTCCTGACACAAAGCTGACATCGGGGCCGACCGTTCTTCAGGCTTCATCTTCACGCGTAATCCTTAGTTCATCCAGACAACCGTACACGCAAGAAGCACTGAAGACCCGGGTTTGACTCCCGCACTATTTGGCACGCATCCTCCTTCCCTCTAGGGTTTTGAGCATCACACTAATCGCCTGGGAGCCGGGTGAGTTCGGATTTCCATGCCTGCCAGGGGTTGAGCTAATGACAGCGGAGATCGAGTTTAAGGTTTTCCGACTGTACCGTTCTGCAAGACTGCCTGGTATCCTGGCAGTATTCTGCTCTGTTTTGGACAGATAGTGATGTCCACAATGATGTGGCTTGTAGGAGTGTGTTTGGTTCTCATTCTTTCTGATTTCTCAATGACCATTTCATTCGTAAGTCGATGCAATCGAGTAATATAATGTTTGCATCATAACACTATTCAGTGTGTGATAAGCAATGAGGTCTATCGGTTCAGTAAATGGCGTAGTGACAGAGAAGAGCGATACACCAAGAAAGGAGTTTTCTGATAGATGCACCCAATCAATCAAGCACCCTGGTCTGCATTTGAGGCTTCCCTGATAAAAACATTAACTGTTCTCTATGGTATTACTGAAGAAGCGTAATGCTAGAAAAGCGTAAATGTTTATCCGTTGTTAACATTTCTGGATTGGATTGGGAACCATTTACTTTACTTTACTTTACTTCACTTTAAAGAAGCTCAATCGGGGTTTGTCTCTTTGGAGCACAGGTTGTTTTATCGGAATCCACAGAAAAACAAACACAATTTTCGTTCAGTTCACCGGTGCATGTGGCGTTTCTTTATTAGTAAGGCAAATCAGCAGTGTGTCGTCATTTCAGTTCCTTTGTCATATCAGTTCTGGTCCGAATTTCCAACCCAACTTACAAATGCTGCAAAACTTTCAGTTGGCCATTTTGTGCAAAAGATGAAACGGAACCCATATACATATATACTTTATTTTCGACCACCGGATGCCGTGATTAGATATACGAACTGTGTTTCCCTGTTTTCGATCTGAACAGCTCCCACAAGTGGTTGATTGAACGTCGTGAAATATTTTCTACTAAAACCGGTCATTAACTGATACAACATTTGACTCCAATCGCACAGTTTGTTGAGCAAACTCCGTGTTCATAACGCACAGACTGAAAATAACTTCTCCAAGTCGAGTAACTCTGCTCTAATTTACGTGTTTTTCCCTTATTCTTCTAAAACGAATCCGGTCAACGAGGGAACTGATTTCGTCAAGTTGGGTAGAAAAGTATGGGCAGTGATGATTCGTTCGTTTCCCCCTCACGGTAATTGCCACCATGCTTTCAATTTTTAAAATAGCCGCGCATGCTTTTCAAATTATTGATTTCAAAACGTCTGACAATTTTTATCATACGAGGGTAGTACAGAACGTGATTTACTTATTTAGCGAGTTTCGTGATGCGCAGGGAAAACGATGTCTGGACTGAAAAGGTGCGAAATGGTAAAACGTTCTGATCGGCACCCCCTCGGAGGAGTGGATGAGATGCTTGCTTTCTACTTGTTCGATCCCTGATTATCCATGTTCACAAAGGATATACCGAATGTTCAAGAGCCAAAAAGAATATTGTTTTCGTATGACGTCAGAAACCCATAGTATAGCAACACATCCGGAGGGCCCACCATCATTGGAAGCAAAATTTAATGCAGTTTATCAGAGGTCCGTGAAGAACGAAATTGAATGCAATCGTTCTGAAGGCAAACCTCTGTGACTATAACAACGGAGTAGATTCCCGTTCGGTCCTGAGGGAGAAACAACTACCGCATACTTCAAAAGATAAGGAATTCAGTTTCTTTTTCTTTTCAAGAAAACTCAAACTGCCCGATCAGCTGCTTTTGTTTTAAGGGGCCAATATGTTTCATAGCAGAACAGTCTGAGTAGTTCCAATGTTCTTCAAATAGTGCAAAGACACAATATTCTGTTTCTAGAATTTAAGGGAATTTTGGTCCGAGGAGGGACGATTATATCCTCTTTTTCGCCACTAGTAGAGTAAGGTCACAACATATTTTATCTATTGTTATTCTTTCACACCATTAAAAGCTTCAAATGCATATAACACGGAAACATCATTGCCACTATTCATAAAATGCTTGTGTATCTATGCAGAAGGAGTAATTAAGTAGTGTACCATCCCAGATGAAGCATAACCATGATGGTCTTCAGTAAAACGGTCCTACAAGCTATTTTTCATGAAGAATCAACATTTTTCTCATCACTAACAAACTTTCCAAATTATTGATTCAAATCATCAAAGGTGTGTAGACAATGAATCCACTGTGATTCTAACCCGATTATGGTTTTATCAATTATACTATTTAAGGAAGCTTTTAGTAACCACGTGAGTTTCGCGGCTACTCTGTAATTTGTGCCAAGTTGACCCCACCGGATGAATAGCGCTTTTTGCTAATAGTAGAATAGTCTTGTAAATCTTCCAATTGGTTCGTGAATTCGTATCAATCAAACACGACTGACATACACTGCCCTTTTCACCGAATCCGGTCCGGTGAAAGAAGAAACACGAATACTGAGTAAATGTGTGCCTCAACAAGTAAACAAAGGTCATCGGGGTCAAATGAGTCACGGAATCAAGATTAGAAAGTTTGGTATATAATCAGGCACTGTTAATTGTCTTAAGTGTGGATTTCACTCCTTGGGAGATCGTCGGATCTCTATCAGTTGAATATATTTATAGGCAACGGAAATCTTTGTGATGACTGACAAAGAACACTGAGCAGCTGTTTTGTTCTGTTTGGGACTCCTCAGAACTGCATGATTTTAGTGTCCCTGTCGGGACTGGAATTGCAAACAATCAAGCCAGTACTTTGAATCCTTACCCCTGAGCTGCACGGTCGATGTTCAACACCTTGTGCCAATGGCTTAATCAATTTAGGGTATCAAGTATCAAAACTATCAACAGGGCCTGCGGCCTATGAAAAACCAAATAGATTATTCTAAACATTCTACTCTTGATTGCTTAAAAGCCATTCACACAAGGTGAGATCAGTCAACTGTGTGGCTCAGAGGTAAGGATTTGAAGTCTCAATCCGAATGTTCGTGGTTCGAGTCCTGACAGGAACGGCACTGCTGGCGAGTCGGTAATCAAGAGTCACGCATTTCGTCGATCCAATATTACCCGGTACATGAAACAGGGAAAAATTGTTGTCATTAATCGTTGATATTCGTTAATGGCCATTGAGAATTCAAAGCCAGGTGATAAGGAAATTTTGAGCCGTAGAAGAATTGTTATCGTATCTACCTAGAAGGCAACAAAGCTTTCTAAGGGCAAATTTAGAGCTCTCGGCTTGACCTGTCAAATCTAGTTCACGGAAGAGGTACCCTATCAGCTCCATCTTCCTCTTAGAGTCCCTCTAGAGTCCTAAGAGAAACTCTTTAGAACCTCTTAGTATCT